AGGAGCTAATTTGGTTCTCGAAAAAGGCAGTCCGGTACTAAAATCGCACCCAGTTCTGGCGGTGCGAAAACGCCAAAAAGTGGGTAGTTCCACAATTAGTTCTGGTACTATGAAAAGGCTCCCGCGGTGCGAAAGGCCCTATCCACACAGATTTTAGGTTAGTTTGATTATTAACTTGATAAATGTTGCTTTTTGGGTTTGAACAAACTCTATAGGGCTAGTATACCCAGCTAACAATTTTTGGTTCCCAGAACGTTCTGTTCTTTTAAATATAAATCTACAAATAACCTACAGGGAACGTTCCGGGAAGGTTCTCTTTAGGTTATAAAATTAAACCTAAAAATAACCTGCAAGGAACGTTCTTATTTGGTTCCCAAAAAAATAAACAAATGGGAACCTAATGGGAACGTTCTGTGTTTGTTGGGTATTTGCTTATGGGTTGAGAAATAAATTTTGCGCGTCATGTAAGCTTTTTATTTAAACGCATTTTAAGCATTTTGGTTTAAAAACTAATTTAAGCAGTGGGGCAGAATTCATTTTGGATACGCGAGGAACACACTTGCTCGTACAGCGCCTGACTAAACTAAGAGTTATTTTTCACGCCGTGTGTTTAAACGTTCGAATACACATAGTTATGTGTCAAAATGCCTGTCTCCTTGTCAACACAGTAATTTGTGTCTTAAATGAACGTTAATAGTTAAAGATAAAGCATGTGAACTAGTTGGCTATTATGAGATCCTGGCATTATATGATGAGATTTTAAAGGGATATAGTTCACCCAAAAATTTAAATATTATAGTATCAGTTTACACACAATACAAATACACAATACACACAATACAAATAATATTATTTACTCAGTTTCAAGTTGTTCTGAACCTGCATGAATTTCTTTGTTCTCCTCAACATAAAACAAGATATTTTGAAGAATATTTGTAACCACTAGAAAGTTTCTTGTCCCTGTTGACTCCAATAGTGTTTTTTTCCCCCATACTATGGAAGTTATGGGGGCACGGAAACTGTTACCAGTAGGCTATTGTTCCAATTATATACATTTGCATTCAACAGCAGAAGGAAACTCATTCAGGTTTAGAACAACAACAACAACATAACTTTCATTTTTGGGTGAACTATTCCTCCAAAGCAGCCTAATATAGCTGCTGTTGCTATTTGTGTCAATAATGTAAATTAAACATTAGAAAGAAAATCACTCACTGTCCTTGACCAAATCACTTTTGTAAAATAATGTATATTGAATTCATGCAGTGAAGACTATTCAGTCTATTTGTAGTCTATGTATTTCATACAATATAATATTTCTTATTCAGTGCTTTAAATGTTTGTAGCTCAATTTCTTTGTTCTATTGTAATTCATGACTGTTTACTTGTCTTCAGTAAGTTTGTTTTTATTTAGGCTAGTATTTTTTACTTTGTGATATTGGAATGGTAACAAGAATTGTGAAATTGCAATGCATCAAACTTTGATAGGATAAAAATCCTATTTTAAACTATACACTCTAAAAAACGCTGGGTTGTTTTTTCAACCCAAATGCTGGGTTGGGAACGCGGACATGAAAGAGAGCATGCATGTCACGTTAACATCGGACATATCTCGACGACACCAGTGCGAGAAGCCGCCATTTTCTCAGCGTTTTCAGATGGAAGCGAGTGCAAGTGAAAGACGGTTTATGGTAAGTAAAGATTAAAAATGTAAAGTCATCATTCATTGTTTGAGTCCGGTAGTATCTTGAGATTTCATGGAAGGCGGAAATATTCTGAAAAGAGCTTATATTGAAAAATACACGGATTTCGCCTCAGAAATAGTCTTAAATACTCTTTTACTGAACGGAAGAGGTGCTTTTAATATAACGTCAGTGAGTGTCATGTCATTTACATAATATTTTTTACATTTTTTGAGGTGTTAAGAGAGGGTTATTGACATATTTACATGTTAATTCGTTTTTTTTTTTTCGCGGTTAAATTGAATGTAGTTTCCTAAAGGAAACAGCGTTATGTAATAAAGACTAGCCTAATTATTTTGAGGCTGATGAAGTGATAATTGTTAAAAGTAATGTTTTGCATGTTATATTTCAGACATGTTGAGCTTTGTGTCTTCATTGTGCGTTGAAAGTCAGAGACATAGGAGAGCATCATTCTTTTGAGATTGATGTGAGTTATTTTTAGAAAATAAATGTTTCTGTTGTCTCCTGCCTGTTTACCTCACATTTTGATGCAACAACAGTATGATTACGTGTTCATATTTTATGTAAACCATTGATGTCTGTATTTTTCATTGCAGAACTCAAACCAACTTTTGAGTTGTCTGATTTGGAGAGTCATCATTCTTGGTCTTCTTTTCTTAAAGGAATAGTTCACACAAAAAAATATATTCACTTGCCCTCGTGTCATTCCAAAACTAGAAGACTTCTGTCTATCTTTAGATAATTTTTTGTTAATCCATTGAAAGTCTAGATAATCAGTATTTTCAAGCTTCAAAAATACAGGAGTTATTGTAGATGTAATCCATGCCAATATTTATATATGAATAAATCTTAAAATTATGGTGAACTAACCCTTTAAAGAGCAGCCCTCCACGTACATGAAAATTTGTGAGGTATTTGTGAATGTCATGTCTGTTTTAATGTTTCAGAAAATAAGTAGCTTTCTGAAAGCAATATATTTACTTAAACAATATGACATGCCCTCACACTAATGCTGCCATTACAGAGACATTAAACAACCACACAAACAGACTATTTACCTATCCTTACTGATGTGGATGCACCTCTATCTGAAAATGGATAGATTTTAATGAAATGTTTTCTTTTTTCAAATGTTTTTCTCTTTTTAGGCCACTGATGAAGAACAGGTGGTGACTGGGATGAGGACTGGTCAAAGAGGAGAATGTCCTTTCCCCCAAACTGATGCAACAGTGGTTGTAAAGGAGGAGGCTGCCCTGGATAATGTAGAAGATGTCACATGCCTTTGCTGTGCTGATAGGGCTTCTTCATGACTACATCAGTTATGCAAAAAAAAAAGATAATGGAAATTGGCAGCGATGCCTGATCTGTATTCATGGACTAAGTGTATAATTTGTAAAAAACAAAATGTTAAATGCTTGTTCCGTGTTGTTGTTCAGTAGAAATGGTGTTTACACTCTGTCATTCATACACATGCTCACATTCTTTCACACATATGTTTCTGATAAATGTTATAATATCAGTGTTAATGTTGTGGTTTATTTACTGTCATGCCAGAATAGTTTGTAAAGAACTTAACTATTAACTAATTGTACAAATATTGTATAAAGTGTTTTTGTATAATATTTTTATACAATTTATACAATTTACAAAATAAGTCAAATTTGATCTTAAAAGTTATATTCAACAAATGTTCAATGCTTCATTTATAAACTCTGTAGCTGTTAATGCCATACTTTTCTGCATTTCTTCTCACATGCATGTTACTTTTGACTGTTTTCTCTTGTTTTAAATAACTATTTACCTTTTGATAGTCATTCTGTGTGTGTAAAAGTGATTTTAAAATGAACAAGATTTGTAGGTTTAATGTCTAGCTCGATTTGGGTTCATTTTAGCCTAGCAGTGTAGTTATTTTAAACCATAAAAAAGCAACCCAGCATGCTGGGTCAGACATCATAACCCAACTTGTTGGGTTAGAACACAGCGCTGGGTTCGTCCCTTTTTGACCCAGCACTGGGTTGCCAAAATAACCCAAATTGGGTTGTTTTTAACCCAGCCGTTTTTAGTTTGTGTGTGTGTGTGTGTGTATATATATATATATATAATTATTGTGATGGGGGCCCTGCAGTAAGTCATAGCCCCGGGGCCCAGTGAGGTCTTAATGCGGCCCTGCTGATGGGACATCGACATAATTATGTATACCAATTTATTTTCGCAAATATCTGATTAGGTGCAAATGTTTTAAGATTAAGTTCGTTAATTACGCTGTATATCACATTAAACAACGACCATAAGTAAACCAAAACTATAGGCCATTGGTATAGTCTTAAACATTTCTTTTTGTCACAGTATAGAACATTTACACAGTTACATGATTTGTAAGACAGTTAAACGCTATAAAAACTCCACAGAACAGCACATTTTATTCCTAACATTACAGACGTGTTTCAGTCTGACGATAGACCTGAAACAGCTATATGCGCGGCTTTGTATAATAACTATTGTAAGAAAGAATAAACGACTTACTCGTTACAAACAGTATCCTTTGTTATATCAAATCGCTCATTAAAATGAAAGCTTTCGTCCTCCGAATCGTCGTCGTCTTCAGAAGAACAGGTGAACTCTTCCTCGCTGTCCGTGTTCGTCTGGAGAGCCTCCTCGAGTGTGTGCGCCATCCTGATCAGCTGACAATACCGCTAAACATGTGCTGCCAGCTTATCGTGTTTCTGTGGCTCATATCAGACCATTAACATAGGAACCAAGCGCTTTTCGGATGGGTTTAGTCAAGTCAGACAGCGTCCTCCTACACAAAATGGCCTAACTCTCTCTCATGTGAAATGGCTGGAGTCTCTTTCTCTGTGATTGGGCGCATTTACGCAACGACGGTCTCGCGGGTATTTGATTGGGGGAAGGCGGGCTGGGCAGACACCCGCTCCATAGTCTCCACCCCCGAATAACCTTCAAGCTCCCTTTCATTGTCTTTACTTTCCCGCGCTTACATTCTGGATAAACCGGTCATTTTCCAACACGTTTCACTATTTTGCGTCAAAGGAACTCATGTAGAATAGGACACATGAAGCATTTCTTAATATACGCGCCAAATAAATCCCTTGGAAAAAAAAAGAAAAAAAAAAGTTTACAATAAAAATGGTTTTACAAGCAACCATAATTCGGCTTTTTCCATAAAACACATTTGACTATATTCTGTGAAACAGAAACATTAGTGTGTGCATTGTAATAAATGCGTTTTTTTGTGTTTTTCTGATAATACGGACAAGTTTATCCTCCGAAGCCGTACAGAGTGAGTCCCTGTCGCTTTATGTTATTGATCAATATGTGAATCCATTGACCGGACTAGAGTGGGGGTTCAATCTTCAACTGGCTGGCAGGAGCCGCCACTGACAGGTCATGTGACCTGCAAATGGCTGGTGGCAGCTGCCAGTCTGATTCTGGCAGGTCACGCGACCTGGGCTGGTGGCTGGCAGTCTCAGCCGCTGTAGATCTGCGAGTATAACGCTTCCCCTATCACTCTCGCTGCAAGGAAATACATTATTTTAATATTATAAATATATTCTTATGGCTCTATTCTTTTGTATGATTAACGTTTTAGGTGGGTTAGCTTTCTCTATTATTTTTCTAGCCTATCTTGTTTTCTATATATATATATAAAACTTGCTACGTGTACTGCCGTTCCCTATCACCCTCGCTGTATGAAAATACATTATTTTAATATTATAAATATATTCTTATGACTCTATTCTTTTGTATGATTGACGTTTTAGGTGGGTTTATCCCAATTAAAGCAGTCAAATGAACGTGATCACGACTGGTTGCTTACTGACTCTCAATCCAGCCAGCCACGGTTAAACTGCGAGTATAACGCGTTCCCTATCACTCTTGCTGCAAGGAAATACATTATTTTAATATTATAAATATATTCTTATGACTCTATTCTTTTGTATGATTGACGTTTTAGGTGGGTTTATCCCAATTAAAGCAGTCAAATGAACGTGATCACGACTGGTTGCTTACTGACGCTTCTCTGGATGCTCAACCAGCCAGCCTCTGCTGAGCTGCGAGTATAACGCATTCCCTATCACTGTCGCTGCATGAAAATACATTATTTTAATATTATAAATATATTCTTATGACTCTGTTCTTTTGTATGATTGACGTTTTAGGTGGGTTTATCCCAATTAAAGCAGTCAAATGAACATGATCACGACTGGTTGCTTACTGACGCTTCTCTCGACGCTCAACCAGCCAGCTGCTGCTGAGCTGCGAGTATAACGCGTTCCCTATCACTGTCGCTGCAAGGAAATACATTTTTGTATTATTATGACTATATTCCTATGACTCTATTCTTTTGTATGATTTACGTTTTATTTATTTTTTTCCCAATAAAAGCAGTCAAATGAATGTGATCATGACTTGTTGCTTACTGACGCTTCGCTGGACACTCAACCTGCCAGCCGCTGCTGCCTCTCATTCCAAGGAAATCATTCTAATTTGTATGGATACTGCCACTAGTTGTGACGATTTTACGATTTATGTTATGTAATAACATTTGTTATGCAATAATGTAAAGCATAAAAATGCCTATTAAAACGTGAATTATCCCAATAACATGAATCTTTCTCATAAAGTAATTTCAGCAACAACAGGACAAACTGCAATGCTTTTTAATAATTCTATAAAAGAAAGCCAACTTAAACTCCATTAGGGGTTCAATCCCTAACTGATTGGCAGCACCAGTGACCATTGGCAGCTGGCAGTCTGATTCTGGCAGGTCACGTGATCTGCCAGTGGTTGGCTGCCTGGCGGCTGGAAGTCCACTGTCAGGAACCATTGATTCATGGCAGATATATGTTGCTCTCCTTCCACTCTATACGGGAATAATATATATATATATTTTATTGTACATCTGTTCATATGACTTTATTCTTTTACATATTCAATGTTTTATGGAGTGATATGGAACCCGTTCAATTCGGAGCTGAAAGTGACTGGCTGCACTGAAGCGGCAGTAACCCACCAGTCGGGATCACGGTCATTTGAACACTTTATTTGTGATAAACCTCCCTAAAATGTCCACAGTTTAAAAGACTAGACTTATAATAATATATTAATAATCATAAAATAATATAGTTAATTTTGGATAAAAGCGTCTGCTAAATGCATAAATTATTAAAATTATTAAATTAAATTATTATTCAGGATAAACCTCCCTTATACGCCTATGATAAAAAAGAGTACATTCATAAGAATACATTAATAATAATAATAAAACAATTAATTTCATTGTACTTATTAAACCTCCTTAAACCTATATTATATTATATTATATTAAAAATACATTCAAAAGAACATATTCACAATAATAAAATTATGCATTTCCTTGCAGCAGGAGTGGGAACGCATAGGCATACTCATAGCTTAAAAAGGCTGACTGGAGGAAACTGTTATAGGAGGACATGAATGCAAATAATTAACTGACGCAAAGTTGTTTACAAAAACAATGTAGAAATAACAAAAATAAAATCAGAACGATTTCCTTGGAATGAGAGGCAGCAGAGGCTGGCTGGTTGAGCATCCAACGAAGCGTCAGTAAGCAACCAGTCGTGATCACGTTCATTTGACTGCTTTAGTTGGGGTAAAAAACCTAAAAGGTCAATCATCCGAAAAAACGAGTCATAAAAATATATTCATAATAAAATAGTGTATTTCCTTGCAGCGAGAGTGATAAGGTAGGCCTTCTACTCCCAGATCTACAGCGGCTGCCTGAAGCTGCCAGCCAGCCACTGGCAGGTCACATGACCTGTCAGTGGCGGCTCCTGCCAGCCAGCTGAAGATTGAACCTCTACAGCCGGACTACGCATGAGTCATAACACGAGTTGGAACAGATTAAAACCGTTTTCAAGCCATCCTCTGCTCCGCGGTGTTTCGTGAGAGAGGCTGAAGAAACCGAGTCTGACCAGCAGGTGTCGCTAATGCGCGCTGTTAGAAAGCTCGAGTAATGAACCGTTTTCGGCACAATTTGGTGAAAGCCTCAAAAGGTTCAGAAAGCCTCGTTTCCCATCACTAAAACTAGGCTTTAATAAGCTAATTATTAACACAATCAATCATATAAATGCTTACTGTAACTACTCCGGGAAAACCGGTGACTTTCTGAAACGCAGGACTTACAAATATAATATTTAGAAAAATTGGGTTAGAATAAGGTTCGTAGTTATATTTTTAAAGTTACAGAAACTCTTTCAGTGATAAGATGGGTGGCTCTTAAAAGAGCCTTTGGGTGTCGGACGGAGCTCTACTTGGAGCTGGTGTACTTGGTGACGGCCTTGGTGCCCTCAGACACGGCGTGCTTGGCCAGCTCCCCGGGCAGCAGCAGACGCACGGCGGTCTGGATCTCTCGGGAAGTGATGGTGGAGCGCTTGTTGTAGTGAGCGAGACGAGACGACTCACCGGCGATGCGCTCGAAGATGTCGTTGACGAAAGAGTTCATGATGCCCATCGCCTTGGAGGAGATCCCGGTGTCAGGATGAACCTGCTTCAGCACTTTGTACACGTAGATAGCGTAGCTCTCCTTCCTGGACCTCCTGCGCTTCTTCCCTGCTTTGCCGGCGGTCTTAGTGACGGCCTTCTTGGAGCCCTTCTTAGGCGCAGACTTCGCGGGTTCAGGCATCTCGTTCCCCGGTGTTCAAAACTAAACTGATACCTCGTGAACCGTGCTCTGGACAGTTATTCGGCGCTCATGCTAATTTCGAAGGGCTGGATCGGCCCGCTCTGATTTGTTTATTCGTACAACGAACGTGAGAACCTCATTTCATTGGTCAAAGACGAGCGGCTTGCGGGCGCATCAGCCAATCGTATGCCTAGACAGTTTAGTCCCGCCTATCGCTTCAGTAACGTCCCCCATAAGTTTTATGTTCTTTGTCTAGCTTTCCCGCGCAAAATTACTGTCTGGGTGAACCTTTGCATTAATACATCACTTTTCACACATTAAAGAAGCTTATGTAGGAGTTACACTAACTACATGATTATTATCAGTTATTTATCAAATTGACGCCCTTAAAACAGGATTTATTTTGATTCACGAAGACTGCATTAAAACCACTTACTACTTGTTTTGTTACTGGTTTAAGCTTGGGATAAACTGTGCTGACCATGTGTCGATAAACACATTTTAACGGTTCACGCTTTTAAAACGCCACCCAAGTTATTTTTATTTAGTAGTTACAAATAAAAACACATTAAATCAGACCATATTGGAAAACACTCTTTTATGAAAATGTGGGGGCTCTTAAAAGAGCCTGTGTTTTTCTGATAATTGGGACGTGTTTATCCTCCGAAGCCGTACAGAGTGCGTCCCTGTCGCTTCAGCGCGTACACCACGTCCATGGCGGTGACGGTCTTTCTCTTGGCGTGCTCGGTGTAAGTCACGGCGTCGCGGATCACGTTCTCCAGGAACACCTTCAGCACACCGCGGGTCTCCTCGTAGATCAGACCGGAGATGCGCTTGACGCCGCCGCGGCGCGCCAGACGACGGATGGCGGGTTTGGTGATGCCCTGGATGTTATCCCGCAGCACTTTACGGTGGCGCTTAGCGCCTCCTTTCCCGAGTCCTTTACCGCCTTTGCCTCTTCCAGACATTGTTATATCGAGTCACTTGCTTTCAATTGTACAATAGAACGTATAAATACTGAGACCGTGCAAGAGGAGATTTACATTCGCTTAAAGGACCTAGTTGAAACATATAAAGGCGGAGCCAAAGACGTAAATCAGCAGCCCTCTTAGCTTTCTGGAATAGCTCTCGAGCTGATGATCAGACATTTGGAAATTACCTCATAAAATAGGTAATCACAAATAACATGCATTTCTTTCAAACTCATTAATAAATATTACCCCAGCAACTATTTCCCTGTGAACAGATTTGTAATATGGATGTTGATATTGATAACTGAATTTGTCCCCCTTCGCTTCTGATTTGTTCTTCTCTAAGGAATATTATTTAATTTGTTACCTCTGTTAGCAAAATTATTTATATATAAACGCATGTATATATAAACGCAAGTACGCTGATTATAAACCACTATTTCTAATTCCGTAGTGAAAACAGGTTACCTTTTTTTCTGGCTAGCGGTCTCTGAGCATTGACTTCTATAAGCGAGTGCAAAATAGTGTTTATATGCGAGACTGAATAATTTAAAGTC